AGGGCTTTATAAAGCTGATGAGCTACAATTCCAGAGCCCTCCTAGCCACTTCGAAAACGGAGATCACAGCAGGCCTCGAAACTGGCGACAGTTTCACAGATCGCAGCCCCGCATGGATGGCGAGGTCAAATTTGGGTCCGCGCGTGGCGTCACTGTGCTGGGCCCCCCAGCAGGCCTCGAAAGGGGCGACAGTTTCACATATCGCAGCCTCCAGGGGGTGGCGAGGTCTCATTTGAATCTGCCCGTGGCGTCATTGCGCTGGGCCCCCCAACAGGCCTCGAAAGTGGCGGCAGTTTCACAAATCGCAGCCCCCAAGGGATGGCGAGGTCTCGTTTGAATATGCCCGTGGCGTAACTGTGCTGGGCCCCCCAGCAGGCCTCCAAAGTGGCGACAGATTCACAGATCACAGCCCCCCCAGGGATGGCGAGGTCTCATTTGAATTTGCCCGTGGCCCTCACTGTGCTGGCCCCCACAGCAGGCTTCAAAAATGGCGGCAGTTTCACAGATCGCAGCCCCCCAGGGATGGCGAGGTCTAATTTGAATCCGCGCGTCGCCCTCACTGTGCTGGGCCCCCCAGCAGGCCTCGAAAATGGCGACAGTTTCACAGATCGCAACCCCCCAGGGATGGCGAGGTCTAATTTGAATTTGCGCGTCGCCCTCACTGTGCTGGGCCCCCCAGCAGGCCTCGAAAATGGCGACAGTTTCACAGATCGCAGCCCCCCAGGGATGGCGAGGTCTAATTTGAATCTGCGCGTGGCCCTCACTGCGCTGGGCCCCCCAGCAGGCTTCGAAAATGGCGACCGTTTCACAGATCGCAGCCCCCCAGGGACGGCGAGGTCTAATTTGAATCTGCGCGTCGCCCTCACTGTGCTGGGCCCCCCGGCAGGCCTCGAAAATGGCGACCGTTTCACAGATCAGCACCCCAGGGATGGCGAGGTCTAGTTTGAATCTGCGCGTGGCCATCACTGCGCTGGGCCCCCCAGCAGGCCTCGAAAATGGCGACAGTTTCACAGATCGCAGCCCCCCAAGGATGGCGAGGTCTAGTTTGAATCTGCGCTTGGCCCTCACAGCGCTGGGCCCCCCAGCAGGCATCGAAAATGGCGACAGTTTCACAGATCACAGCCCCCCAGGGATGGCGAGGTCTAGTTTGAATCTGCGCGTCGCCCTCACTTTGCTGGGGCCCCCAGCAGGCCTCGAAAATGGCGACAGTTTCACAGATCGCAGCCCCCCAAGGATGGCGAGGTCTAGTTTGAATCTGCGCGTGGCCCTCACTGTGCTGGGCCCCCCAGCAGGCCTCGAAAATGGCGATAGTTTCACAAATCGCAGCCCCCCGCGCGCAAGACAGGAAGAGGCAGGGAGGGAGGGAGGAGGAGGAGGAAGGAGTGGAGACCACACTGCTCTATTCAAAACGAATACCCAACCAAGGAGGGTTGGGAATAATGCCGTTAAGCATGCAACAGATGCAACCCTGAAGGGAGGAGGCCGGCCCGCCGGCCGATACGCGCGGCCGCGCGCGGGCGCGCTCCTTACTTTTCTGTCACACCTGAGCCAAACAGCTTCAGGTAATTTGAAGGAGTTTCTGTGGAACTACCGTCATCCTCACCCCCGGCGCGGGGAGCAGAGGAGCCCAGAGCGGCCTCCGGCACCGTTTCCGGACAGATCCGGTGGATCCGCCGACGAATCCCAAACTGGCGCCCTCGCTTGAGACATCCTCACAAAACCGGCCCCGGGGGAGGATGCCCAGAGGAGCCAGAGCGGCCACCGGCACCGTTTAGGGACAGATCCGCGAGGGGGGGGGGGGGGGTGGGGGGGGGGGGGGGGGGGGGGGGGGGGGGGGGACGAATCCCAAACCGGCGCTCGCTTGAGACTCGCTTGAGAATCCTCACAAAACCGGCCCCGGGGGAGGTGCCCAGAGGAGCCCAGAGCGGCCTCCGGCACCGTTTCCGGACAGATCCGCCGACGAATCCCAAACCGTCGCCCTCGCTTGAGACATCCTCACAAAACCGGCCCCGGGGGAGGTGCCCAGAGGAGCCCAGAGCGGCCTCCGGCACCGTTTCCGGACAGATCCGCTGACGAATCCCAAACCGGCGCCCTCGCTTGAGACATCCTCACAAAACCGGCCCCGGGGGAGGTGCCCAGAGGAGCCCAGAGCGGCCTCCGGCACCGTTTCCGGACAGATCCGCCGACGAATCCCTAACCGGCGCCCTCGCTTGAGACATCCTCACAAAACCGGCCCCGGGGGAGGTGCCCAGAGGAGCCCAGAGCGGCCTCCGGCACCGTTTCCGGACAGATCCGGTGGATCCGCTGGATCCGGTGACGAATCCCAAACCGGCGCCTTCGCTTGAGACATCCTCACAAAACCGGCTCCGGGGGAGGTGCCCAGAGGAGCCCAGAGCGGCCTCCGGCACCGTTTCCGGACAGATCCGGTGGATCCGGTGTCGAATCCCAAACCGGCGCCCTCGCTTGAGTCATCCTCACAAAACCGGCCCCGGGGGAGGTGCCCAGAGGAGCCCAGAGCGGCCTCCGGCACCGTTTCCGGACAGATCCGGTGGATCCGGTGACGAATCCCAAACCGGCGCCCTCGCTTGAGACATCCTCACAAAACCGGCCCCGGGGGAGGTGCCCAGAGGAGCCCAGAGCGCCCTCCGGCACCGTTTCCGGACAGATCCGCCGACGAAATCCCTAACCGGCGCCCTCGCTTGAGACAATCCTCACAAAACCGGCCCAGGGGAGGTGCCCAGAAGGAGCCATGCGGGCCTTACCGCCCCGTTTCGGGACCAGATCCGCGACGCATCCCAAACCGGCGCCTTCGCTTGAGACATCCTTACAAAACGGGCTCCGGGGGAGGTGCCCAGAGGAGCCCAAGCGGCCTCGCACTGTTATCCGGGAACGACGCCGACGAATCCCACACCCGTTCGCCCTCGCTTGAGTCATCCTCAACAAAAACCCCCGGCCCCGGGGGAGGTGCCCAGAGGAGGCCGTTTTCCGGGAACAGATCCGGTGACGAATCCCAAACCGTGCTCTCGCTTGAGACATCCTCACAAAACCGGCCCCGGGGGAGGTGCCCAGAGGAGCCCAGAGCGGCCTCCGGCACCGTTTCCGGACAGATCCGGTGGATCCGGTGGATCGGCCGACGAATCCCAAACCGGCGCCCTCGCTTGAGACATCCTCACAAAACCGGCCCCGGGGGAGGTGCCCAGAGGAGCCCAGAGCGGCCTCCGGCACCGTTTCCGGACAGATCTGGTGGATCCGCCGACGAATCCCAAACCGGCGCCCTCGTTTGAGACAACCCTACCAAACCGGCCCCGGGGGAGGTGCCCAGAGAAGCCCAGAGCGGCCTCCGGCACCGTTTCCGGACAGATCCGCTGGATCCGCCGACGAATCCCAAACCGGCGCCCTCGCTTAAAACATCCTCACAAAACCGGCCCCGGGGGAGGTGCCCAGAGGAGCCCAGAGCGGCCTCCGGCACTGTTTCCGGACAGATCCGGTGGATCCGCCGACGAATCCCAAACCGGCACCCTCGCTTGAGACATCCTCACAAAACCGGCCCCGGGGGAGGTGCCCAGAGGAGCCCAGAGCGGCCTCCGGCACCGTTTCGGGACAGATCCGGTGGATCCGGTGGATCCGCCGACGAATCCCAAACCGGCGCCCTCGCTTGAGACATCCTCACAAAACCGGCCCCGGGGGAGGTGCCCAGAGGAGCCCAGAGCGGCCTCCGGCACCGTTTCCGGACAGATCCGGTGGATCCGGTGACGAATCCCAAACCGGCGCCCTCGCTTGAGACATCCTCACAAAACAGGCCCCGGGGGAGGTGCCCAGAGGAGCCCAGAGCGGCCTCCGGCACCGTTTCCGGACAGATCCGGTGGATCCGCCGACGAATCCCAAACCGGCGCCCTCGCTTGAGACATCCTCGCAAAACCGGACCCGGGGGAGGTGCCCAGAGGAGCCCAGAGCGGCCTCCGGCACCGTTTCCGGACAGATCCGGTGGATCCGGTGGATCCGCCGACGAATCCCACACCGGCGCCCTCGCTTGAGACATCCTCACAAAACCGGCCCCGGGGGAGGTGCCCAGAGGAGCCCAGAGCGGCCTCCGGCACCGTTTCCGGACAGATCCGGTGGATCCGCTGGATCCGCTGGATCCGGTGACGAATCCCAAACCGGCGCCCTCGCTTGAGACATCCTCACAAAACCCGCCCCGGGGGAGGTGCCCAGAGGAGCCCAGAGCGGCCTCCGGCACCGTTTCCGGACAGATCCGGTGGATCCGCTGGATCCGCTGGATCCGGTGACGAATCCCAAACCGGCGCCCTCGCTTGAGACATCCTCACAAAACCGGCCCCGGGGGAGGCGCCCAGAGGAGCCCAGAGCGGCCTCCGGCACCGTTTCCGGACAGATCCGGTGGATCCGGTGACGAATCCCAAACCGGCGCCCTCGCTTGAGACATCCTCACAAAACCGGCCCGGGGGAGGTGCCCAGAGGAGCCCAGAGCGGCCTCCGGCACCGTTTCCGGACAGATCCGGTGGATCCGGTGACGAATCCCAAACCGGCGCCCTCGCTTGAGACATCCTCACAAAACCGGCCCCGGGGGAGGTGCCCAGAGGAGCCCAGAGCGGCATCCGGCACCGTTTCCGGACAGATCCGGTGGATCCGCGCCCCGGGGGAGGTGCCCAGAGGAGGAATGAGGAGGAGGAGGAGGAGGAGGAGGAGGAGGAGGAGGAGGAGGAGGAGGAGAAGATGATGGAGCTGCGGGGTGGAGGAGGACAGACGGAGGCAAGAGAAGGATGGAGGAGGAGGAGGAGGAGGAGGAGGAGGAGAAGGAGGAGGAGGAACCTCATCCTCACCCTCGCCAACAAGCGCACGCACCTTCTTCTATATACAGAAACTCCCGATCAACCGCAGAGCGGCCGGCTAGTATCCAAGTCAAGAAGAGAAGCGGACAATACAAGCAAGGCAAGTGTGGGTGCGAAGGGCAGGAACTAGGTGGTGCGAAGGGGTGCATTGACTGGGAGACAGGCGAAGAACGGGAGAGGGAGGGGTGAGGAAACGGAACGATGGCCCTCATGCGACAGGCCCTTGACGCATCTGATACAGCGGCCCTCGCAAACATTGCGCGGGCGGACTCCATGAGGAGACAGCTGGCGTTGCGTTGAGCGCTGTGAGCGAGGTCCGCGAGGGAGGAGGGAGGAAGGACAAGGGAGGGAAAGAAACGAGGGAAAAAAGGAGCCCTCCGACATGATCCTCCCCTCTGCTCCCTCATCCCGCGTCTCCTTCTCCTCCGCATTCTCCTCTTCGCCTCCTCATCATCGCCCACGATCACCCTTCGTCTACATTCTCTGCATCACCAGATTACCATTGTATAATAACCACCATCGTTTTCATTATCATCATCCTCATCATCACCACCACCACCATCGTCACACCCCTCATTACAATTATGCTAACCCTTCTCTTCATGCCCTCCGTTCCTCCTCCTCCTCCTCCTCGTCCTCCTCCTCGTCCTCCTCCTCGTCCTCCTCCTTTTACGAGCTTTTACGGGCTTTCCTCCTCCTCCTCCTCCTCGTCCTCCTCGTCCTCCTCCTCCTTTTACGGGCTTTTGCTCCTGCTGTTCCTGCTGTTCATCCTCCTTCCGCGTTGGCCAGACTCTGAGCGACTGAGCTCGCAGCGTCAACCGTATCATCCTCCTCCTTCTCCTGGATCTCTCCTTCTCCTCCTACTCATTTATTGTTCCTCCTCGTTTTCCTCCTCCTCCTCCTGAGGAGGGGTCCCAGGGCGTAAGATAAGAGGCGGGTGCGGCTCCGCCGAAGTTGCCAGGAACACTTTGCGGCCACGTTCCACCATCCTAAACTGGAATGACACTCTCGAAGCAACTACAGCGGCAGCCGAGAGTAGTCAGCCAGATGACCGCATGTCTGTCCAAAGCACTGGTCGATCGTTCTCGGCTTCTGACACACAGCCGCTCCAACATCGCCATTCCGCCTGGGTTTGAACAAAGCTCCCCCCGTCCTCCCGGCTCGGATCACAAGCCGCGGTCAACGCGACATTCGGTATCTCTGCGGTTTCCCGCTCATCCCTGGTTGTCGTCCCGCGGCAGCCGCGGCTGGAGCCTCGGCGGCGAAACCCTACACTTTCTTGAGGACCGCGCTGATGCATTCTTGCTTCGCCTTGTCGTCCTCGCCCAGAGCTTCCAGCAGAGCCGCCACGCACTCGTCCTGACCCCCCCAACAAAAAATCCTGGCGAAGGACTCAACCATATGCAATTGTGGGTACCGCAATTGTGAATCCGCCGATCCAGCGCGTGAGTTTCAAACACCCTGAGAACAGCCTGACCCTCAGTTCCTGAGCTTCAGCTCTACTGGGGGACGGGTGCCGGGGTGGCTTTGCCGGGGCAAGGGGGGCCCATGTAATTCCCAGGGCGGAATCGGAGGCCCAGCTCATTCCGGGACAACCCCCTCCCCCAGGAGGGCCCCAACATGGGCCAAGAGGGCCCCGAGCCGCCGAACGATCGCTACAAGACGCCCAGGATGTCCCCAAAACGGCTCCAGAAGCCCCCGCGATGCCCTCAGAAGCCATGAATCAAAGGCCTCTCAAAGAACGCCCCAGGAAGCAAAAAGTGACCCATATATAGAGAAACCTACCATTTATGCATCTTCGCCTCTTGGGCCTTCAGAGCGTCGCAAACGCTACAAAAGAGCTCCAAAACGGCCCAACAAGCCGCCAAAAGGGTTCCAAAACGTCGCAAGGAGAGCCCGAGACGGCCCAGGATGCCCCCGGAAAGGCCCAAGAGGGCCCCAGGACGGGCCCAAGAGGCGCCCGAACGGGCGCCAAGACGGCGGAAGAACTGCCGAAGACGGCCCAAAAAGCACCAGCAGGCCCCCAGAGGCCCCCAAGAGGCCTGAAGAGGCCCCCCATGAAGTCCCCTAAAGGCTCCCAAGAATTTCAAAAAAAAGGTTCCCAAGACGCGTTCTAGAGGCCTCCAAGCTGCCTCGAAGACTCCCCCCGAGAAGCCCAAAACTGGCCCCAATGCTTCCACGACGCTAACGTCTGAACACAAGCGCTGCAATGCAAAAGGTTTTCCACGTTTTTACACTTTCCCCCGTTTTCGGTACCCTTCACATCCATGATCTCACAAGGGCCCGCAGAAGACTGAGCGAAGGCCCCTGAGACCCCAAAAACACCATGGTTCCCAGCAGAGACCGGTGATGCACAAGGCTCCACAAAGAACTGTGACGCAGACACCTCTAGCACAAAGCTTTTCAGCGAGCGCGCCAAATCGGCAACGTGTCAACCCAAAGAGGGCCAACATCTGACCCCAAAGAAGCTTTCCAACAACCGCCGAACATCTCCAACAACCGCCGAAAAGCCCATCATCCTGGTCATGTTCCTCCTTCTCCCCCTTCCCCTCTTCCACTTTCCACTTCGCCCTGCTCCTCCTCATCCTCGGCACCCTGCTACTCGTGCCCCTCCCCCCATCCACCCCCATCCACCCCATCATGATCCACCTCCTCCTCCTCCTCCTCCTCCTCCTCCTCCTCCTCATCATGATCATCATCATCATCATCAGCATCATCATCATCATCATCATCATCATCATCAACATCATCATCATCATCATCATCATCCTCATCATCATCAGCACCATCATCATCCTCATCATCAACATCATCAGCATCATCAGCATCATCATCCTACTCCGTTGCCTCCATTCCCAATCCTCATCATCATCCTCACCGCTCGCCGTCGTCGCTGGTCAGGGCCGCCATCGTGCGCATTCTGGCGGCAACGGAGGCGTCCCGGATCGGCGGCACTGGCCGGAGGCCACTTCAATATCTTCTTCGGTGGGGTTCCCTATGGGGCCACGAAGCGCTGCACCCGCCCAGGGGGAACGCACGCGGGCGGTAGCACTGGGGCCGTCGGTGGAACTCCGTATGGGGCCACGAAGCGCTGTGCTGGGTTGGTGAAAATGCCAAATTGGGCGTGTGGGACGCAGGCGGGCGGCCCTACGGGGGCTTCAGTGGAGATCCCTGGGGGGCCACGAAGCACTGCACTGAGTGGGTGAAAATGTCAAATTAGGCATGTGGGACGCACGCGGGCGGTCCCACTGGGGCCTTCGGTGGAGCTCCCAATGGGGCCACGAAACATTGCACCGGGTGGGCGAAAATGCCAAATTGCGCTCTCGCGACGCATGCGGACGGTCCCACTGGGGGCTTCGGTGGAGCTCTCTACGGGGCCACGAAACATTGTACTAGGTAGGCGAAAATGCCAAATTGTCCGTGTAGGACGCACGCGGGCGGTCCCACCGGGGATGTCGGTGGAGCTTCCTATGGGGCCACGAAATACTTTATTGAGTGGGTGAAAATGTCAAATTGGGTGTGTGGGACGCACGCGGGCGGTCCCACTGGGGGTTTCGGTGGGGCTCCCTTTGGGCCCACGAGACGCTGCACTGGAGGAATGAAAATGCCGAAGACGCTGTCGGGGCACATGCGGACGGCACCACTGGGGGCTTCGGCGGAGCTCCCTATGAAGCCACGAAGCGCTATACCGAACGGGTAAAAATGCTAGAAAGTGGGTGCGTGGGACGCATGCGAGCAGAATGTGTGGGACGCACTCGGGCGACCCCATTGCGGGCTTCGGCGGAGCTCCCTATGGGGCCACGAAACGCTATAGCGGGTGGGTAAAATGCCAGATTAGGTTTCCGGGACGCATACAAAAGGTGGTATTAAGGCCTTCGGTGAAGCTCCCTATGGGCCACGGAGCGCTGCACTAGATGAGTCTAAATGCCAAATTAGGCGTTCGGAGCGCACGCGGACGGTCCCATTCGGGCCTTCGGTGGAGCCCCCTATTGTAAATATTGATCCAAATCTCTCCACCCACAACCTCTTGATGCAAGAAGAAATAGATTGAGTATGATCTGATATTATACCGAATCAAACTAAGCGCGATTGCTGCGCCCACCCTCCCGCCACAGCTTGGCGGGCAAACAACCAAGACGGCCGCGGCGAACAAGAGAGCGCAAGCATGAGCGAGCGAGAGCAGCAGCAGAGATAATTCGAATTATCATAATATATCCCACATCCTTGCTAATACAACTTGCCTCGCCACCTGGCCTTTCCCTTGCGAGGCAGCCGCTGCCATAATGTGGGCCGGCGCCGGTCGAGGCACGTCGATGCCAATAGTCTTCAAGAGGTCTGTGTTCGGGCCTGGGTCCTCCAAGCCATAGAAGCCCTTCTGCTCGGCTTTGTATTATTCGATGAATCTCTTCCGTTCAGATCCATTTGTCTTGAACCATCGGTCAGGGTGGACGCCCGGGTTGGTGGGCTCCTTCTGCGTGCGCCTGAGGACAGCGCTTCCGTATACTTAATCATACACGGCCACTTCATTAGGCCTCCTGTAGTAAGGATCGTAATAGAATACCACGCATAGGTACGCCGTCTTCTGCTTGCCTTTAGGGGGAGCGGTTTCGTAAGCTCCTCAACAGATTTCCCGACTACCACCGCATTCTTCTCGCAGTACTCTCCCGTGTCCAGGTTTTGGGTTGTTCTTGCCATGGCCCGTTCAATATTTGGTCCTCCCCTTGCGGGGGCCGCAAAGGAATTTGGTCTGCCTGGCAATGATGACTTCCGTCTCGGCGAGGTTCTCGCCAACCCTTACCGCATCGAATTCCACTCTCCAGCGCCTGGCGCCAGGCGGGAGCTCTGGGTCAGGCGGCGGACCCGACGGCCCTTCGTCATCCGTCGGATCATGGCCAGCCAGGGCTTCGCCATTGGCGTGAGGCTCAACTCCCTCCACTCCGAAAACGTCGGGAGTGTCCGGGGCTGGCATTGTGCCCTCGTGGGAGCCTGGCGCCCCCCCGGATTTCGCACGCGGTTTCTCCTGTTGTTCTTCCGCGGCATTCCCGCCCGATAACAGGGTCTCAAGCGCGACGCTGCTAATGCTCGCGGCAGCCTTATCATGGGCGCGTCTTAGCGGGAAATGCACGGGGGAATCCTTGTCGACATTGTCGATGACCCCATCGGGAGAGTCGACATCCATTTGTTCCACCTCTGTGTCGGTCCACACCTGTTCCGTTCTCTCCACGATGGGTATGTTGCCATCTGCCTTCATTCCACTGGTAAAGTTCAGCCCTCCGAGTTGTGCCAAGGGTATACAGTAGTGGTCAGGGCCAACGCGCCCCCCCCCCGCATGCTGCACATAGCCGAGATATATGCCCACTCGCGTTATTGGGGCCATTTTCGGCTGCTTGATTCTAGGTTCTCGCGGTGGCAGATATCGGACGGCGGACCCGAAAGGAACCAGCGGGGCTTTGAAGGGCCCGCCGAATCTCAGGTCCCACGGAGTTGTGCCGTTCTCCTCAAGCATGGCGTTATAGCACGTGCAAAAATAAGGAACGGCGAATGCCCAGAACTGCGCCAGTAGCCCAGCAGTCATGAACAGAGTTCTGGCTCCGTCCTGAACGACGCCATTGGCGCGCACTGCCACGGAGTTATGTTTCTTATTCGCCGGCTGAGTGGAGTCATATGCGATTTTTAAACCCTGACAGGTTTTCTCTAGCTCCAGTGCCGGATCTGAGCATTTGTACACGAATTATTCGTGCGGGGCTCGCAGGTTCACTAAGAAGTCTGTAACCTGCTCGGCCGATTTGCCGAAGGCGCCCTTTGCCGCAGGGAATATTGTGAACCGGTCGCGCAGCGTCGCACACGAGGTTTCTCCGTAGAGCCCCCTCAGGCCTCCGAAAGCTTCTGGCTCCGAGAAAGGCTTAAGCTTCTTCAGCGACGTGTTCTGCTTCTTGCGCTGCTACATTCTGAGCGCCCCTGCCCAGGTGCAAGTCGGGCAGTACGGATGCTTAGGCAGGTGTGTCATGAGGTGTTTACGGGACTGCGCCTCCTTCTTGAGCCGTTCAACTCTACTCGGCTCACCCCCCGACTTCTGCATTGGGTCTTCAGAGCCATCGTCGTCGACAAGATCAATAGCGCCTAGTGCCTCCGCGGGTTATTCTGCCGCCCCCTCTGCAGGTGCGGGGACGGCTTGTCTTCCACCTCCTGCTGCATGGCCGTCATAGGTGAGAGACGGTGGCATTCTGTTGACGACCCCGGTTTGGCCGGGCTCCCAGCCCCCCCAGTTCGCCAACCGAGGCTCATAATAGAAATATGTGATGACGTCCCTGCCTCGAAGGTCGGCATCGTCGGGCTCGCCCCTGCAGTGGCAATCCGAA